AAGATTTTTGGAATCCATCTTGCACAAAACTTGTGGTAACCAAGCTTTTCGCTGATGATTTCGTGCAACAAACTTCGCGAAATTTGTGGAAAACTCAAAGAAAGTTCCGTTATTGTGAAATTTCGATTTTCACGGACTTTAGCATCGACTTTTTCGAGAAGTTCGGCGGTCACTATGCTGGGTCTCCCACTTCGATCTTCGTCGTGAACATTGGTTCGGCCATTTTGAAATCTTATGACCCACTGACGCACTCCACCTTCAGTGATAATGTTGTCCCCATACACTTCACGAAGCTGCCGATAGATTTCTATCAATTTACAGTTTTTGCAGTCAGAAACCTTATTACTGAGCGCACCTCGCGGGATTTTCAATTAACGCAGACATTTCAAACCGTCACAGTATCTGAACGGAGCACAGCACGAACCTCTCACTAGCACGGCTAGATGCAGACTGAGCTGCGCAACGCTCTGGCCCCAAGATGGCCGCGCTAGCCCCGCCCCTAGCGGACACAGACGGAAACGTAATCTACTTCCTGGATGGCTCTCGTAGCTTTTGAGGTCCAGATTAAAGACTTTTGATTGTATAAATGCACTGTACCTGACATTAGGCTAGGGCACAGATATCTAAAACTGACTGATAAACAGATAATTAATAAAGCATCTACAGCTTTTAGTATGTTGTTTATTTTTAGATGGTGGCACTAAAATTTGTTGTTTTATTTTATACATTTTCAAATTTCAAAACACCATTTTAATGGCACCATCTAAGAAACAAATAAATAATTTAAAGTGAAAGATCACATACTATATTACTGCATTCAAAAAGCTGATCACAATTTAACCATCATAGGCAACAAGTGACGATTTCAACACACAAACACAACTTTTGTCACGATTCATAGAAACAAATAATTATGGCTCCTTTGGTACAGTTGGCATTTAAAATCTGCCTTCTGTGCCAGCTAATAAGAGAGTAAGAAAGCAGCTAGGCAAACTTCAAAGTTCCTTCTTTCTACATTTTAAATTACAATTGTCCATTTGCACACATCTTTTGCATGATAAATACTGCTATACCAATATACTATACCTCCATAGATAAAGAGGGTAGAGATAAAAGATAGATAAAAAGGGTAATCTGGAGGTGTATTTCTTTTTAACCTTATGTATCAAATAGATTACCCACAAAACAGCAACTTGAAAAAATTTAAATTAAGGGTCTTAGGGTACAATTATGAGTTCAATAAAATGTTTTTAAAAAGCCCATCTTGAAATCATGTGTAGTGACTACTGCATCATTCAGAATAAACCACAGATTAGCAAAAATTCTCTAAAAATTAAGATATTCATCACTCCTGTAAAACACATGCATTATGCGTTAATACCATAAAGTCATTTTTTTCATTTTGTTGCATTTTTATGGATTCATAGGTATATAAATCTTGATTTGAAATCCTTTTAAACTTTCTGATGTAGATTTACAATCCAAAAGAAAATTTGTCTTTTATCAACTCTGTATGAGCAAAAATCCATGATTTTTGATAATAAAAATTCAAAAAGGTTAAGTGTAAAGTAACCAAGAAAACTGATACAGGCTTGAATATTTTGAAACAATTACATGGCAAATCTCGCCAAGCAGACTTACAACGCCTGGCGCAAGTCTCGCCAGGCGACAACATACAGTATACGCATAAAAAATGTTAAGAAATGTTAATTCTAAGAATTTTAAACATTTTTTTTTATTATTTTGGAGGCATAAATATTTTAATATCGTTTAGAATTTTTTCAAATGGGTCTTTTGTGTCCTTTTGCCACATAAATTCGGCGAAGTAACTTTCTAGACGATGCCGAGCAGTTCCTCTGTGTTTCTTATTCCGCCATTTTGCGCTTCCCCATAGTCTTTCAATTTTTTGCGTGTGCGTTCCAGTTTCCGAATCTCACTTTGAAATGTTCGAAACTTTCCTCTTCCAGTTTTTCAGTGCAATATGATTTCCATGAATCGGAATATATTGTAGTTCCTTTTTCGATGTTTTCATTTATTGCCTCTAATATAATACTCATGGATCGGTTTGGCACCATCACAAGGAAACATTCGTTTGTTTCACGAGAAACTCCACCAAAGATCCACTGTTGTGGTAAAATCCGTCCCGTGGTGTTTTTGCGCTTCGTGAACATACTGTCATCCACTTCAACGATCGTACCAGGGCCTCCTATTTTGCGTTGTTGACGTTTAAGTAAAGAATCCACACAAACCTCTCGCATGTAGTTATTCCAATCCACAACTGTTCCGTGACTGATTTCCAACTGCTTTTCACACCATTTAACTGAAGTTAATTCTTAACTCCAACCATAAATGAATCTTAAACACTACAAGAAACTCAATCTCGATGATTCAAACCATGTGCCTTTCCGTATACTTCTTTTACTGCGGCAAGTTGAAAGGTTGCAACGCCATTGAATTTCGTCTCCGAAATATAATTTCATTTCATGATTATTTTCACAAATAGCAATGTTAGGCAAAACGCCTTTCGCTTGAAAGAATCCGACGGATTCTTCCTCTGTCCTGGGCAAATCCCCAAATTTTCATTGGTTTTTCATCCATTTTTGACATATTTGTAAAAGACGTTAATTTAAGAATTTAAAGACGTTAAATTAAAGATTTACTATGCTTTCATGGTATAACCTCTTGATTCGCAGGTTAATATCACGTGATCCCAAACGATCTCATCTCACGTAAAATACGCTACAAAAATCTGATTCTCTCAGGAATTATCTACATTAATTTCAAGTTAAATCTCAGTATGGAATACGAGTTTAAATGCAAGAATTATTTCAATATTATAATTAAAAAAATTCTATGTAACTGTATGCCAATATTGAAAAAAAAAGGTAAATCTGATAATTAATTTCAGCGACTTGTTTTGAAAAAGTGCCGTGAAAGGTCATCAGCGAAGATATTCCCTTTGGCATCAGTTCTACCATTTTCGGCGACTTTATCGCTTGCACCGGCGAAATCGGAAATTGCGCCGGCCAAACGGAAAAGTACCAAAAATAATTACAGTAGCCATTTTGCTGTTAAGAAGTTCTTCAGAAACTGTACTTTATAGTATTCATTATCTTGTTTATTTTTCAGAATCTGTACTTTAAATAGCAATTATTATTATACTGATCGTTCAGAATTTAACGAACTTTTATTCTTCACCTGAGAGAAAACAGTCACAAAAACTTCAATCCCAGTTTTCATACTGCTACACAATTATGAAAAATATACAAACCCATCTTTCTTCAAACATAGCTAAGAAGGCTTTCATACATACTTGATGTGTTCATATGCATCAAGTCCAAATTTGATGTTCTCTGCGGAAGTGCTTCCTTTAATCCATATATCTAAGATGTGCACTGAGTAGCATGACTGCCTTTATCCATTCATGAAATTTTTAGACTCAATATATATCAACTTATAATAATTTAAATATTTTTCTTTTTTAATTTCTTCAATGATATATCTATCACCTTAACCCTCTGTTGCATACAAATAATCTAGAGAAGTTTAACGGAAATGCTTGTATTTTTTCTACTTAAAATAATCTTAGTAATAAAAAAATTAATTTTATTCAAATTTCATTTTAAATAATTGCTACAGTTTGTTCCCTACCGTTGACAGCACGCACATACATACAAACATGCACACAAATATCTTCCCAATCATTTCCTGCCTCATTTGCAGTGATCATTACCATCTTCTAAATGGTAAATCTACAACTGACATGTACATACAGATCACCCAAAATACCTTCATTTTGTCAATTGTAATTGAATTCATGTTGCTACGATTTTGTACCTATTGGATTCAAAAGTTTCAGAATTTCCTTGCCAAACTTAAACATTTCCTGTGGTGTTTTGGCTTGATAAGCAGTATATTGGGTTTCAATTCGTTCTTTTCGGTAGATCTTTATCCTATTTTGCCTCACTCCACGATTTTCTCAAAATGACATTTAAAATAAAATGTTTAAAATTACTAATTATGAATAAAAAATGGCAGTATAAGAAAATGTTTATAATGTTTAAATATTATATAAAGTTTACTAAGAGAAATTGTACTAACTTGGAAACAGAAGTAGCAGCCATTTTCCAAATCGCAATGCTTTATTTAGTGATGCTATACAGCCATGATCGACAGTTGAAAGTTCTAATAATATAGAATGAATAAACACAGAAATGGAATCTGTTAAGGCATTTACAGAAGAATAAAATTTAAACTTTTGTCTACTAGAGAGGGACATGATGCAACAAAGGGTTAATGGAAAGTTATGAAAGACAGAAAAATAACTAATTAAACAAATTTACTTAATAAATGGTATTTTAAAATGCTACATGAACAGATTAAAAGGCTCAGAGGGTTAAACCACATTTAACACTCTTCCTTTACAAACCTTAAACTTGAATATTCAGTTAAAAGCAAGGCTGTATAAGCAGATCAATGCTGCGTATTGTTTATATTTCAGTTCACTTACAACATCGGTGACAGTATCAGTTACGACTGTATTGTATTTTTCAAAAAAATATGAAATGCAACACTTAAATATGAAACTAAATAAATAAGCAATAAATCTAACGCACGTCAGAATATTAAAGACAATAATCCTAATCAAAACTGATAATCCGAATCATTGATCCATCTACAAAAAAAAAAAAAAATTAAATAAACAAATGAATATATTAAAACGTTGGAATTTAAAAATAAAAAAAAAAAAAAAAAAAAAAGAAGAAGCTTCCTTAAGTTCCAAAGTAAAATTGATTGCATAAAATTTTAGAAGTTGTTTAAATTCCTTTCCATCGCTTTCTAATAATCAATAAAGTACTTAAAGTGAAACAGAGTAAATGAAACAGTTCTAAGACTGAATGAACATTCGTTTAAATTGCATGATAACTTTATAATTATCTACTGTTAGTACAATTAATTTGATGTTTAAATCTGGAAACTGATGGGCTAATATACAGTACCTTTTCTTTGTCACTCATGCTTTCACAGTTAGAACAATACACTAATATCGGAAAACTTTACAACACAAGATACTTCCAACACGAGGAAAATAACAAAAATCCACTAGAATGTTCGATCACATTGAATGCGCTCACGAAAAGTTGAGAAGTTCCGCTTCATCTTTCAAGCAGCTTTCTCCAAGTAAAAAAAAAAACGCTCCGGCCAAGAATTATGATTTTCTCTTTAGTTTACAATTATTAAACTAAAAGGGAACCGAAATAAAAATAAAGCCTAAGTTACTAATTTCAGTATTACACTGCTGTTATTAACACTGCAAAGAGAAAGAAATCCTAGAGTTCTAAGTAGTGTGACCAGACATACGTTAGAAGTTAGAAACGTTTTTTCAACATTCCCCCGACTTCGGTCGTTTTCTCAAAAATAACCACATCCTTTCAATGAAAACCAGAGCTTAAATTGCGCCGGAGTCCAATGGTGCCAATCTCCAGTACTTCAAAGCTTTGAGATAAATCGTAATCCTAGCCTGAGAGAAGCATAGGCACTTCTTTAACAAACTCAACTACAATTTCAAAAGAAAATTCTTCTGATCTAATTAAATTTTATTTTAGTAGCACGTTTTTTAGCCCAAAGAAGCTTTAGCAGAGAAGGGTTATTAGTCTAGAAAAGGCATTTTGCCCCGGTTCCCTATGAATGTCCTTTCACTTTAAAAATTGTTACTACCAAATGTTCTGCCACAAATCGCTCTGTATTATTAAAGAAATTAAATAATGAAGAATCTGCATTAATTTATGCATGTCTCTCGCACTGTGAAAAAACAACGGTGCCTAGAGACATCAAATTTTGAATAACATAGTCCTCCATCTGAACATGGCCAACTGAAAGCTCGAATTAGGAATTTATTTTTAGTCAGTAGAACTTTAACAAAATTTTCATTAACAAACACAACGATTTCAAAACCCGCAATGGCAACACCATATGGAAAAATGTATTTTTATCTCCAGGGCGGGAGACTGGCTATCAGAAATTCTAAAAATATGTATTTTAAAAATATATTTTAAATATGTTTATCCCAAAGGGACATTAACACAAATGCTCTCGAAATGTGTATATGTGTGTAAATGAGAAAAAGCGCCCCTATGGGCGTAATATAAAATTTGAAAGCTTTCATATTTTTTTCCAGTGGCAGGCACAAGTCATCATAGACGTTGGCAACTACTAAGGCCAGAAACGGTGGTCATTTTATTACGGAGTAAACTAATCCTGTTCCTGAATGAGATTTAATTTTTGACGCATATCTTTCCGTCCCCAAGAAGGAAAACCTTGATGGAAATTTAAACTCTAAAGGAAAGAAAAGCCTGCACCCCCATGTCAAAATTTTGTTCATCAGGAAGAACTGTCCAAGATACTTTATTATTGAGCATGATCTTCACATTTACACCATATAGAATTTAACAACAGAAATGCAAAAATTTTAAAAGCTGCATAGGAGAGTACGTTTAGAATTCCCCATGCAGCCTTAAGTGTTGGCACACACTTTCTGCTTTTTTTTTTTTTTTTTTTTCCAGTCTTTTCTCAGTTAATCATATCAAAGTTCAGCTTTCTTACTTAGATGTATTTACCAAACTATTCACGTTTTGTGTGTTTACTTCATTTCTTAAATATCACGTTCTTGACGCGCGTAAAATTCGTTTCAATAGCAAAAATCATAAAATATTTAAAGACAGCATATCTTTAGAATTTCCCATAGACAATATCACGCGATGGAGGTAAAAATGGGATATTCTTCGGAGAACAGCTGTGACGCTGAACAAGGTAGAAACAGTTCATTGTAGTAGATGAGAATATGGTTGTCATCCGATGACATACTTCTTTTAGGGAGATAGCGCTGATACTTTTCCCCTCCATCTGATCCATTTTTCGTAGTAGTCTATCGGGATATGCTTTGATTTATTTTCCGTTTTCATTTGTTTTGTTATGCTTCCCTGCACTCATCGATGTTCAGAAATATTTTATTCTATACCTTTTTAGGATCTGTTTATGTGTATTATTATTAAAACACAGACCCATCATTAAAATAAAAATATTTCTTTCACTCATTTAAGATATAGAGCAATCCAGAAAGCAAAAGACCAAACTTACTTATTTACCTGGGTAGTGTGATGATGAATCGAAACCAATGCTGATGCATGGGAAATAAAAACTCGAAGATTCATCTTATTATACTATATCTACACTACAACATAATACAATTATACTAAAATATATACATTATAACAATTTCCGTGACATTTTACTGTCCCCTGAAATTTTTAAACATGTCAATCCGTTCACGTCACAACAGAAGAAAAAAAAAAAAAAAGAACCCTGTTTTTCACCAAACCGCTTCTGGTTTACCCAATCCTTACGGCAAACAAACCTATGATTTTCAAACCCTAGAGGTCCTTCTACTAGTTTTCAACTCGGCCATATCAGGTTCATGTTTCTTACTTCTTTGGGAACATGCAAGACCTGACTCGGAACAGAGAGCTTACTAAAGCTATGTTCAATAAACTGTGGGAAGTAGACAGGATACACAAGAAGGGTATACAAAACCCTTTATTTTTTCTCTCTTTACAATAATTTCCGTACTTCGGAATACAAGAGACCACCTACTTGTGGTCTAAACGTAAAAGAATATAAAAATATTAACTAAACTCTAATTTAACTTTGGAATAATAAAAACGTGGAAGATTGGCCTTATATTAACAGGAAGCCGTATGTAGTACAGAGAACTGTTGAACACTACAATACGTTTAAAAATTATCAAGAGGATTAAAACCTCTGGCCTGGAAGGCAACCAGCAACTGAGTAAAACTTCTAAGGGGTAAGCGGCCTGCTTCGACTAACTGCTTCCTCTCTCTCGCTTGGCAAAAAGCCACAACTTAAAGTACTTGGCGTTCGCCAGACAAACTTTGCATAAATAAGTTAACGCTTATAATTCTGGCCGGAAGTAGAAAATAAGAAGTGATAGTAAAGATTTAAAATAAAATAAACGTTAGTAAAACTTAAGATCCTTAGTAGTAACACGACCATTATTTTTTTCCATTGAAAAAATTTTACTTTTTTGATAGTAAATTTAAACGCCAAATTTCAAAAACCAACCATTGATTTCGATCTAAGGCATTCAAATCTGCTGTACCCGAAACCTTAATGTCCTGTTAGAATATGGAAGGCGTTAATGGTAGAAGATCCTTAGAGTCATTTGACACATAAGTAAGTGGTCGATAGTTTATTATGACTTCCACATAGAATTCTTCCCTAATAGAAAAGGGCTGGAGTTTACTCCAAAAACTACCCTTGTGGGCGGAAAACCTTCAGCACATTATCTTTCTCCCACCATAAAATTCTTAAAAAGTCCCTATCTTCTTTCCGTAATTCAATCTGTAAAAATGCATGCCTGATATCAGAGGTTACGTCAATGCATTTTCCTCTAAATCTTAAAAAAATTGAAGGGATTTCTTCTATTAAATTTGGTCCTTTTACTAAGTAATCATTAAGCGAGGGCAATTTATTAACTTTACATGATGCGTCAAAGACAGGTATTGTCTTATTCGAGACACTGTATGACTTAAATACTGGATGATGCGGTAAATAATGCCCTTTAGAATTCAGTTCATCATCTGGTACTATTTCAATTGCACCTTCCTCCATCCATTCATTAGAAATTCTATCATATCCTCCATATTTATGTAAAGACTTGAGTTTTCGGGTAACACTAAACAATCTTTTTTCTGCTACGTGACGATTTGAGGGCAATTCTGTGCTATATACTAACCAAGGTAATACGACACAATAGCAACCATCTTCGTTTCTGGGAAAAGAGTTTAAAAATTGTTCTTGGGCAATTTCTTCCTCAGCAGCGTTAGTTGAATTCCAATGAGCATCTATTCCGATCATTTCTAAGCTCCAAAAATCGGAGATTTTAAAAGTCGTGGCCCACTAAACTTGCACCAAAAATGGAAGCATCTTTATATTTGTAATTAACAAATTCCTCCGATGCACCACAAACTGTCCAACTAAGTTTCGTACAAACTGCTGTTAGTCCTCCTTTTAATTGTTTTACTGATCCCGTGAGAAGTTTTCCATAAATATCACTACCGATGAGCATTTCTATTTTTGGACAATCTGCTCCCAAATCCGACAATCAAATGTTGTTCCGTTTTAATCCTTTTAATATCGGACCCTTGGGTACCGGAGGTATATCACCACATATTATGTCTTGATCTAAAAATTCAAATTCTAGATCTGAATAGTTACGTGGACTGGCTGAACATAATTTTACCCGATATTTGATATGCAACTTTGGTTCTGTTCTGGCACCTCCAAATAAAGTAAGAGCAACATTTTTCTTAGACAATTGGTAACCCCAATTCAGTGGCAAATGATTTCAAAGTGTACGATTTCTGGGAACCATAATCTAAGAGTACTCTAACATAGTTATGCTTTTTGACATCAGCTACTCTTACGCATAAAGTCACTAAAGCTGTGTCAGCGGTACAAGTTTGCCTGGCTGTAGCCGTGTGTATATTGTCTACTTCTGATTTTTCTGTAGGAGGTTCAGTTTCATTATTAATGTCCGGACACAAAATAACTGAGTGTGATTTGCCACAAGCAAAACACCTAACAAACTGTTTACAGAACTTTGCCATATGATTTGGTTCCAAGCATTTTAAACAGAATTTTTTCTCCTTAACTTTAGAAATCCTTTCATTAAGAGATAATGAACGCGCATCGTAACTATTTTTACTTTGCATTTTACCACAAAGAATACAAGCATGTTCTCTAGTTGTAAGAAAACCTGTGGGAATGGGAACTTAAATTTAAATTTACTTTTTGTTTCCCTCCTTGCTTTATCATCATATCCTTCTTTACAACTAACACCATCGAGTCCACTACGTGCCAATTATAATTTCTCCTCACCCTCAACCTCAGCCTTTAAAAATTTCATCAAGTTAGTAAGGCGAGAAAGATCAGTTCCTTCAGGCTTGGTTAAAGAGCGAACTTCCTTTGCTACGCCTTTAAAACATCCTCCGTGAGACACAGATTCCACCATTGGAAATAACCACGATGTGTTTTCGCTCGATTTAAGACCTAAAAATTATAAGGCTCTCAA